CGCGGGATGATGCGCGTCTTCTTGTTGTCGCGGGCCGCGTTGCCAGCCAGCTCCAGGATCTCGGCCGTCAGGTACTCGAGCACCGCCGCCAGGTAGACGGGCGCGCCGGCCCCGACCCGCTCGGCATAGTTGCCCTTGCGCAGGAGACGGTGGACTCGCCCTACCGGGAACTGCAGGCCAGCGCGGGAGGAGCGCGTCTTGGCCTTGGCGCGAGCCTTGCCACCCTGCTTGCCGCGTCCAGACATGACGTGTGCGCTCAAACTACACCAAAAACGCGTGTGAAAAGAACAAAAAAAACCCACACACTTTATAGCCACTTTGGGCGCGAAAAAGAAGCTGAGCCATTGGCTGAAGTTGTAAGTTCATTTTAAATATTGTAAACGCAATTTCTAAAACACGCATTTTGATTGGACAATACCGAGCCGTGAGCTCCATATATCCTCCAATCACAAGTTAGACTCTGCTGCKAGTTGAGTTCTAACTAAGGAGGACTGGACCCGTCTCGTAGTGATTCTCTTTTGGTTGGGTACTTAAGGTTTCCTGTACACGAGCCAGTGGAGTCCACCTCGGTCCCCACGAGGGCTCCAAGGAGGTGCGGAGCAAGGCGCCCAAGTAGGATGGAAAGAATCGCGCACGAGTTCTGGGAGATCCAGGCCACGGTGYGCCTGCCGCTGCCCAAGTACACCACCGCCACGTGGGCTCTCCAATGGCTGCCTGTACAACAAAGGTTCTCTTCAGAGCCAACCACGCTTCCACCGAAAGTAGCAGATACATATTTATTGTTTTGTTTCCTTCAGTGAAGCTGGGAAGAATCCGCAGGGGCGGCAGAGCGTAAAAAGCGCTGCAAAGGTCAGGCTTACAGGCAGTGTCAGGTTAGTTTGTGTTCCCTATCGCGTTCGGAAAAAGTATTGAAGTTTTCTTTTCTGCTACAATAGCCAAAAATCGCTTTTGGCAACGTAATTAATTCACTGAACTCCCGGAAGTAGCAGTACTTGAAAAACCCCGCCAGGGGTTGCAAATTGTCACGGAGTCGTGCTTTTCAAATAAGTTATTTGTGGGGGCTGGGATTGTGGCTCAGATGTAGAGTGCTCGCCTAGCAAGCAGGAGGCACTGGGTTTGATCCTCAGGACCACGTAAATGTAGAATAAAGGTTTTGTGTCCACCTAAAACTTAAAGAATAATTTTTTTTTTTAAAAAAGGAGTTATTTGGAAGGTAAAGTTAAGAATTGTTATTTGCGCCCGTTTCGCATAAGCTCTGCAGTGCTGCACATATGCGAGCTGAAATGATTTGCATCCAAGCGCAACAGGCCGGGAAGCTCCTTCAGGTTAAAATGTTGAGCAAGGAACCCAGCAACGTTGAGAAGCCACTTTCTTAGAATCTTTAATCAGGAGATATGCATTTTGCTGGTTCAGAGAGGTAGCTATCAGGCTGGGATTTGAGAGTCCATGATTTGATTATCAGCAAAAGAGGTTGGAGAACTAGTGCATAAAGAACAGGGATCCAGCAAGGCCACAGAGGTAGGCAGAGAGCCAGACGCCATGGCTTGCTAGGAGTATTCTGGAGACTTTCAGTGCTTGATGTAAAATTCCTCAATCTCTCCCTCCCCAGTATCACAATGGTGCTTAAATTCTCCTTTCTGGCATTTCATAGTATTAATACCCTCTGCCACCGTGTTATCCTCTCTGCCATAGAACACTTGTATTGTAAATCCATGTTCTACCCCCCCCAGGATCTCACCAGGGACTCCAAAACCACCATTTAAGGCTTCTTTCTTGCTCTGTCTTCGCTTTCCTTGAAGCTATGGGTTGCGTTCTCTGTCTTGTCAGTTCCAGGCCACAAAGAGCCCCAAAGTCATACTAATAGCCAGCGGATCTTGAAAAATGCACGGATTTATGCTTTACTTTTCTAAAACAGGGTTTCCTCCCTCAGTTCTGCGCCGTCATTCAGGCTGGACGCACTGGGACTGGGGACAGTCCTCGGAAGAGCTGCCTTCCTAGTGTTCCTGAATTTGTAGGCCTCACAATTGTCACCTCCCTTCATTCTTTGCTTTCCGGGAAGACTGTTCCATGCCTTCGAGGGATGAACCTCCGGGAGCCGGCKGGAGAAGACTTATTGCCCTCTTCTGCCATCGTGTGGTAGAAGACAAGCGCACGTCCAAGGCGCTGTTCTAAGGGGACTGAGACCATCTCTCTGTGCCGCAGTCTGCACGTTAGAGGAAGGTTTCCACTGAAGGTTTTAACGGAAGGATTGAAGTTTAAGCGTGGAGGAGGGGAGGCGAATGGGGAGGGCAGGGGAGTGGAGGGAGAGAGGGGCCGTACTGTGGTATGATCAAACTGTCCAAAACAAAAAACAAAATTGTATCCTAAAATAAATGAAAATAATAGGATCATGCTTTCTAGTTCTGGCCCTCAAAATAACAAATACCTAAATATTTCCTATAGACCTAAACACTGACAAAAAACAATGATCTTCCCGAGTTTTGYGAGGCTGCTGTTGGAAGGTTTGTCATGACTTGAAGTTTAGATGTGAAGTGTCACCCAAAGTGTGAGAGAATGCAAGGAAGTTTAGAGGTGAAATGAATGGCACCTGAGTGTCTTAACTGAATCAGAGGATTAATCCTCTGATATGAATCAACTGGGTGGTAATTGTAGGCAGGTGGGGTGTGGCTGGAGGGAATAAGTCAACAGGGGCATTTTTTAAAAAAATTTTTATTTGGGGGGTGTTATGCTCCAATTCGSGACCCCCAAAAGACCACCAGAGACCAAGATCGATGTAAGCAGCATAGAGGCATGTATTGCGAGCTAGCTGGGTCCTCCGCGCCCGCACACACACAGCAACTGGTGACGCTGAGAGGCCAGGGTTTGCAGCAATTTTATACACTCTTTGGGGAAGGCAGGGACTTCACATACATCATAGCATCTCTTAGCAAATCATCAACACCACGAGAAAATCATAAAACAACTCTAAAACATGATTAGCACATTCACTGGTGGGAACAAGTTGGGTAAGGGTGATTGGTTACTACAAGAGGGAGATTTGTTTGAACTGATTGGTTTAAACTGAGAGGGGTGAACATGCTGAACTACATGGTTTCCCAATGAAGCCAGATTTAAAGTTAGGTAGTCAGTGTAGTTAGGTAAATCGGGTCTAATATCGAGTGAAATCTAAAATGGAGGCCATGCTGGGAATGACTCAGGGAAAACAGGACAACTCATGGAGTGTTAATAAAGTTCCGAAAAGGCCCTAGGCCAAAGTCCACCTGGAAGAAATGTTAATGAACAGCAAACTTGACTCGGAAATGACCAGATTACTCCTTTGTCCCAAACCCTTCCCACCTACATTCCATCACTAAACCTATAAAAGGGGAGACAACTGCACTTCCACGGATTCCACCTTCTGGGTCCCCTTCTTCCTCCGGGAGAAGTCTTTTCTTCTGTCCTTTAATAAATTTCTAATTTCTACTCTGGCCTTGCCTCGGCGTGCTTCTTTGGTGTTATTCTTCAACATCGGGGAGCAAGAACTCATCACCGGTCAACAGCGGTAACACCAACACATAATCAACCACCATAAACTACTGGGAGAGTCATCTGGCATCCCGGGTACTTCCCTGTCTCATGCTGATTGGTGGCTGCTGGGGGGTTGGTATGGGTCCCCACCTAGCCTGACTGAGTCAGGAACACCTGGCCCAGCAGATCTCTCCAGTTACTTGTAGATAAACAACTTATCAGGGTGGGAATGTGCCTAGGAGTGCTCTGTGGGTCTTTCCAAGGACAAAGGTCATGTCCCTTCCTTGGACAGCTCTGAGGTAGAGGCTGGTTTTTCAGGGGGGTGTTATATTTTGTCCTTGGTAAGCTGAGCTATATTTCTTCTTCCTGGTGCCATGTCCTGAACTTCTTTCCTTCTCTACACTCCTCTGCCTTGATGATCTGCCTCACCTCTAGGCTCAGTGAGATGGAGTTGGCTGTCTATGAACTAAGACCTCTGAAACCATGAGTCCCAAATAAACTTTTTCTTCTATAAAATTATTCTTTTTGGTCACAGAGGCAAAAACAAAACAAACAAACAAACAAAAAAACCTAGGCTAAAACACCTAGGGGCAGGATGATTGTGTGACCAAGCTGAAGTTTTTCCACGGTGACCTGGCCAATGTAAACTTGGAAACCTCAATGACTGGCACATTTTCTTTTCCTTTTTCTCGTTAAACATTATTGTTCTTATGTTCTGTYTGCTCTCTTGCCTTCTTTGCAGGTAGACTTTTTTTTTCAAATATTTGTGAGTCCTCCTTTGACAGCTCTACTGCCTCACTGTGTCTAAACATCCTGTTAAAACTCCTGTGTTAATTCAGCAAGGTTGACAACACTGTGCCACAAGCTGGGTGGCTTGAACAGCAGTTATTTTCTTGCAGTTCTGGAGGATGGAATTTCAAGATCCGGGTGTGGGTAGATTCAGTTTCCTCTGAGGCCTGCCCCTGGCTTGCAGAAGGCTCCCTCTGGTTGTGCTCTCTTGGACTTTTCTCTGCACATTTTCATTTGTGTCTCCTGGGTCCTATCAGGTTAGGCCTCCCCCCTAATGACCTCATTTAACCCTGATCACCTCTGTAATGAAAGAGGGTTTCTGTGCTGGGGATAGAACCCCAGACCTCAAGCATGCTGGGCAAATGCTTCACTCTTGAACCACACCCTTAGCCCACGAACTACCTCTGTAATGCAGGGTCTCACTCCACAGGCCGTYAGGAGCCATTTTCTTTGAGTGTATACAGAAGTGAACTGAAGTAAAAATTAAAATTCTCAGCCGCTGACAGCAAGAGGTGGAAATAGTGGAGGGTGTGGGCATTGCTGCATTTGGCTTTTATTTTTCATTTATTTATTTTATTTTTTTATTTTTAATTTTTTAATATTTACTTTTTAGTTCTCGGCGGAGACAACATCTTTGGTGGTATGTGGTGCTGAGGATCRAACCCGGGTCGCACGCATGCCAGGCGAGCACGCCACCGCCTGAGCCACATCCCCAGCCCCTGGCTTTTATTTTTAATTGACAAATCCGTTGTGTATGTTAATGGGGTGCAATGGATGTTCTGATATATGTGCACAATGTGTGTGATTAGCATATCAGTCACCTCTCACCTCTGTCTCACTGTGATGTAGTCCCCTCTGCCTGAATTCCTTTGGTACCATCTCTAGAACTCCCTGCCATTTCTTTGTGATTGATGCCTTCTTTTTGTCTTACTGCTTCCTACAGTCTATT